AAGAGAGACAAATGGCGTGTACAAAAAGATTAAAAGTGATGTGAGAAAATATCGCGACGGCAGATCCTGAATCAGACGGGTACGTGCTCGTCGCAAAACATTTTCACAACCGCTTTTCTCCGGGCAGGACTGGTTGCGCGGAATCGGGGAAGCAGAACCCGGTTCGAGGCGATGGCGCGGTAGATCGTAGAAATCCAGCTTGAAATGCGATTTCGCCGTAACCGTCCGAGGTCGAGGACGATACAGAAAAAATTCGCGAGACTTGTCAATAATCGCGAATGACGCGATGATTCATTCGAAACGCTGATATCATATCGACTGATAATGTTTATATAGACAACTTGCATCGCGATATCTTCGAGATTAATCGAAGCGATCGAAGTAACGCGCAGAAAATAATTTTTACAAATTTTATCTCGAGAAGTGTAAAATTGTAATTTTTGTAAACACAACGACTTGACTCACGAATAACGCTCGACGATCGGAACTCCGTAACGAACGTCGTGTAACTCCCGGATGTGTTATCGCCCGCAGGCGTGATAAGAAGCGAGGCAGTGCAACGAGATACCGAGCGCGCGCATATACGCATCGCTCGGGCGCGCGCGCGCGCGTGCACGACGCGCAGAATGTCCACGGGGCCCGCAGAGATAATACCACACGTTGATCTTGAGGAGAGCGCGGTATCACTCTCGGGAGAAAATAACATCGTCCGGCGAGCGAACTTGATTTTTCACGTCCGGCGATTTATAGCGGTGGCTCGTAAATGGCACGAGGCGGTTGCCGCGGATGCCCGAATACACACATATACGTAGAAGAGGACGAGGAGGCGAAACAACATTTAGTGAAAGGCAAACGCGCGTCTTCCGTGGCCGAGATTCGAGTCCCTCGATCGACGATCGAGGCCTAAGCCAAGTCACGAAGCCCTCCCCTTCCCGCGCCTGTGGATTGTCGCGTTCTCCTTGCGCGATCCGCCCGAGCGGAACACCCGGTATACGCGCGGCGATTATTCGCGATTTATTATTCGCGCTCGTGCGAGGAGCGGTCGGCCGCCGTTGTAATTTGTTTAGACTCGTGACGCAGGCTCTCTCTCTCTGTCTTTCTCTATCTCTTTCTCTTTCTTCCGATCTGTCGGGCACGTCGACAGAAATGATCCTCTTTCGCCTCCCTTAGCTCAATTGAGCCTTTTTAACCGCAAGGCCCGCGTCTTTTGCATCATGACGCGCAAGCTCAATTTCGTCCTCTGAATAGCGATACTTAGGGGATTACTTCATGAAACGTGTAATGCCGGGCCAGGGATTTCTCAGGAGGATTCTCAAGTATCAAAAGGATTCCTAGAGAATCGCAGAAACTCGAATACGGATGGGGTCCGACTTTATCTACATGTGTATATCTTAATCCCCGGTCGCGGCGAGTTCCTCGTGAATGGCACTTGTGGACCGTGCTTAATTCGGCACTGTGACCCTAATTTAAGTCGTCCGGACTCCGCGAGGAGAGAAAGAAGGAGAGAAAAGGAAGGAGAGATGCTCGTTGGCGCAAAAAAAAAGACGAGCCGGAGCGCGAATCAAACGTTTTATATACGGATTCGTGTCTCTCGCGAATATCTTCGAAACCGCCGAATCGAAAACGACGAAACTCGTGTGTGCCAACGTGAGTGAGGAGAGGCCGGCACCATGTAACACCTTGAAATCCAGTTTCCCGCTGTCACACACGCTGAAGAACGAGAAATGTGAAACTCCGGCGTCGCCGTTCAGGTCGTCGACAGTAGCGGTGCGAGAGAGCGTCTTGTGGATTTTTTGAAGGATCCCATTGGCTATTTACACGTAACCGCAGTGGCCCCTTCGTGTTACAAAGAGCTCCTTTATGTCTCTCCACCGAGAGGCTCGACTCTTATTTCGCGAAAAATTACGAACCGAGTTTGGGGAGGGGGGGGACAGGAGAAAGACGGACGAGAGAGGACGGAGCGCGCGCGCGAAAGAGTTTCATTAACTCTCACAGTTCGCGGGAAATATTTTCCAGCCGCAGCGTGGTGAATTATCAAAATGATTTCGACTGTGCAGGGCTAATTAAGGCTTACATAACCGTTTCGTTCTGTAAAACGCACAAGTATACGATACTTCTCGTGCCACTTCGTGCCGGGGAGATAATTAACGAGCGAGCCGTGTGCTGCAGTCGAAATTATAATATAAAGCCACTATCGAGCAGGTATATATATGTATATATATACTATTTATATATATATATATACGCCTCGTTACACGGCGCGCGCGGTTTCGCAACGACTTGGGGGATTGGCGTGCGCCGATGTCGTAACCGTTTGTCGAATGTGCAATGAAACGGAAAATCCGGTGAGGTTTAATAAGGTTCCCGTTAGAAGAGAAAGGGTTGTTTCTCTTGTATCGGGTTGCGATAGCCGAGCTCGCGCGCGCGCGCGCGGGGAGGAAAGCCCTTCGCGAAGGTGTGTATATATACTGTATATATATAGGCAGAGATTCGACACGGCCGTGAAAACCGGCGCACACACGTGAAACCGTCGCGGCGATAGGTTTCCCCCGCCCGCTTTCTTTTTACTGTTTCTTGACCCGCCATAAACCACCGCCGGAGGAATTTAGGTAATCGCGTTTTCGCGTTAAACAAAAATTGACCCCGCCGCGTAATCTCCTCCGCTACAAAACGTCCCGCTGTGTAAACCCCGACGGAACGACGAGAGCGTTTTGTTTATTTTTATGAAACGCTCGTCCGATTGATTGAAATACGACGTTTATCTTAGATCGCGCGATTGGATAGTCTTATCGAAACCCGTGCGCGCCTATATACACTCGTCGCGCGTAGTGTTCGGTAAACATTCGGCCACGGGCGTGAGGCGTGCCGAACAATGATCTATTTCTGCGGCACTTCCGCGGCGCGAAACGTCATCGTCGTTTTCGGCGCGCTACGTAATATGGGTTTAAAGCTAAAAACGCACGCCCAAGCGATCTAAGATCACAGTCCATCGTGACTGTGTCACGTCGCCGCAAGTCCGGGATCGTTCGGCAATTTCGAGTAATATCGTAATTGCAGATCGTGTTATTATTTTCGGTTTCTCAAGATATAATGCGTATTTCGTAAGGGATATTACATGTATTTCTCCGGTAATTTAGAAATACGTTTTTCCGCCTCTGCTGGAGAGTAACGTTTTCACGTTCCCCGCGAACGAGTGGATGGACGGCCACGTAAAGGTATCCCGTTACCACGGTAGCCCAGATACCGGATTACGGAGCACGAATTGTCAATCGCGTGCGAACGAGACGGGCTTCTAAAAGGCCTTTCAAGTGTTGTGGCAAGGCGTCCCGCACGGACTTCGCGCCGTCTGTGATGTTTGCTCGAAATATTAGAAACTCGCGAATTCTGGCTTCCCTAGAAACTCCCTCGACGTCGCTCCCGTGTTATTTTAGAAGTCCTAGGAAAAGAGGCGCGTAAGACCAAGCTGTTTGAGAATTTTCCGTCCTCCGGGAGTTGTGTATCGCGATAGGAATTTAAAAAATTTCAGATAAATGATTTATGACTAACTGGAACGAACCGACGGTGCGACAGAAAAGAAAAGAATGTCAGGACATATTTACGTTCGCTTCTCGTCAAATCGTTCATCTGTTCGTATCGAATTAACACACCGTTATCGTAACATGTCGCTGTCCCATTAACATAATTGTTAACGGAGCCACGAGGCGTCGGCTCGGCTGATCGGCATAATAGAGTAAACAAGCTGGCGCTACCGAGCCACTTAATCTTCAATTGCTACGTTTGTGGGTTACATTACGCGGATTCTCACGTGATACGCGGCTCGATCGCGGCTGGCGGCGGCGATGATAAACCGACACTTTTATAAGCGCCTCTCACCCGGGGCGTGAATCAATTTCGCATTAGTCGATAGCCGCGCGCGAGCGTCGATAAAACATTATTCAACGAAGGAGCGGCGGGCGCGTTTCTGCAACGCAAGGAAGGAGAGATATCGACGAGATCGATAGTAGAGTCGTGGACTAGAGAGCGAGAGCCCCACGGAGCCCGGATTTCAGGGAAAACGCTCAGGCCGATTACTTGGCTCGTTACGAGGCCTCGATATAAGGTTGCCTCGTTTTGTTGTACACAACACGTTCCAACGAATCATAATATCGATAGAATAGGCGTAATGCCGGCGTGCCGGAGCGGAGACCCCCGCGCGAGATGAATGGCGCGCGCGAGTTTATGTTTCTTTCGACCGCCTATTTACAGAATGTAAACCCGCGAGCCAGCCACAATGAAAATGACTTCTTCCTTCGTTCGGTCCGGTATCCTTCCTGCTCGTCACTCCGAGGGGAGTCCCTAAAAGGGATCTTAATCGTTTGCTTTGCCGTTCTCGAACGAAAACAGAGTTGCGTTGCTCCATTTTGGAGGAAGAGGAAGACTCGTTGGAAAGTATTCGTACTTCCGAAATTATTAATTACGTTTACTAGCGAATTTTTGAAAAATTGACTGACAAGTTGACAGGGGAAAATTTTTCCGGTGTTAATTGCGACGAAAATAAACGGTTTCGTGAAGTGGACGTGCGTGTCTGTTTATCGTAATCGCTAAACGAGATGTTCCAAATTAATGGAAAATTTGTGATTACCGGATGCCCATGGAGAGGTCTATTTTTTCGCTCAATTACTACGGTAATTAACCCATTTGATACGCTATCGGCGTCGTATAATCGTCCGCCGCCGGTGTTGCGAGTGATGATAATTTTTTTTAATTTAACGCTCAATATGTGTTTGAGGCTTTCCTTTCTTAACGTAGATAATATATATAAAATTCAAATTCGTTATTCTAAGGAATTCGCGTGTTTATTACTGAAACTTTTAATCTTACACTTTATCCGCAATTATTATTCCGCTCGTACGTTTTTGAGATGTTTATACTCTTATAAATATGTATATATGCACACACAATATTTGGTGAGATTAAAAGATATAGGTTTTAAAGGAAGATTTCTAGAATAATAAATTTACCTTTAATTTTGGTCTCCTGTGGATCCAGGGGAGGCAATCGTGGGTGAGTCTGCTGTCCCGGTTTCTTCAGCAGGACACCCACGATCTGCGGCGGCGGCATCATCATTTTCGCTTCTCTCTCCCGTGCGCGCCTCCTCTCACTTTCGAAGCGTCAATTCGCGTCGTCGGTCATATCGATATCGCACTCACACTCGTATCCAATCGATTGGAAAATTACTCTATCCTCGATCCGCGGCGTTCTCTCCTTCCGATTTTGCAAGCCGCGATTTGCCAACGTTTATACGGCAGACCTCGTTCGGGTCTACTGGCTCTTTTCGTTTCGGCTCGAGTACGAGCGAGTCAAGACTCCACGCGAACCTCGAGCGAATCTCAAGCCGAGGAAGCATGCAGCTGCCGATCGTCGCCTAATCGTCTTGTTGGCTGACAAGCTCGGCGCGCCGCGCCGCAACGAGAGAGGCGAGAGACGACGAAGGCGCCGGCCGGGACCTCCTTTCCACTCGACGCGATGCTCCTTCTGCGTGCCGCCTCGTTATCGTCCGCTCGCCACGCAACTCTCGGCCGTCCTCCTTGTTGATCGCGTTGTCTGATGATTTTTTTTCTCTCTCTCTCTCCTTTTTTTTCTCAATTTGATCGGCGCGCGAACGTGACCCCGCGCGTACTCGGCGCGCCGAGAAGGACGCGAGCTCCGATTCGCGAGCTATTATCGCCGCGAGCAACACTCGTCGCGCGTTGTTTGCGAGCCATTCGTTGACGATGTCCGCCAACGAGTCCGTCAACGAGCTCTCTCACTCAACTCTCGCGTGCCCCAGTCGTATCCTCGCCGGCTCAGCTCCGTCGGCGATCGGCGGCGATGATTTCCGAGCGCGCGACGGGATCGACGACTGCACGCCCGCTCCGACCTGCCATCGTTCCGCGAGAGAGTTTCGCGCCGCGTTTCTCTTCGCTTTCGTACGTAACGAGGAAGAGGAAGAGGAACGAAAGGAGAGAAAATGCGTCAACCAATCGCGACCCGACCAGGATTAATTGTGTCACCTGTTACAGCTCTTTCTCGAGAGAGAGAAAGAGAGAGAGAGAGAAAGAAAGAGACGCGGCGATTCGTATATAGTGAGCGCCTCGTCTTTCGAGGACGCGCCACGACGTCAATTGGACGCAAAGAGAGTCGTAATCTCTGAGTTTATCACGACGTACTGATAAAGTCGTATCTCGACGTTTAAGCGCCGTGAGAGTTTCTCGATCGCGACTTTCGAAAGCGCGACGTTCTTCTTGTGTTTCCCGCGTGCACGATGACTCTCGACCGGAATATATATATATATATACGGTATCGATACGGCAACGACGATCGATCGAATCGATTCCGACGTAAGCGAATGCAAATGTTAATCACAGTACACTCCGCGTGTCAACGAACGTTACCATATAATACTCCGAATTTCCGGCACGATTCAAACCGACGACTCCGAAAAATCTGCAGTAGCGGAAAAACCACCTTCGTTCCCTCGACAAATGTCACTTCCACCTTATATGCAACAGATTGCAACTTCTTTCGAAAATCGAATCTCTTTGGCAATTATTACGACGGCGGGCAAACTTTTGCCGAGACTCGGGCACACTTCTCGGCACGCGTCGAACCGCTCCGATGCCACTCAGCGGCAATGACCGCCAATGACCACCCACCCCCCGTGTAGCGCGGGGCTTTATCACTGTATCTCGTGTGCCTCGTGTAGGGGATGTGATCGATTTCCACGCCAACCCCCCCGGCGGCAGGACCTTGCACCACGCGCGTCAACAAGCGAAGCGAAGGTGTACGAACGACGACGAAGCGCCTGTGACAGCTTGGCGCGCGCGCGGCGGAACAACTGATCGCAGAACGAATACGGCCAACGAGAGAACGCATCGTGTGCCCTACTCGCTCGCCTGTGGTCCCCACTACCCGCCATCTGCGTCGGTTATCTTTTTCTCTCCCTGAACACGAGACGGGGAGAGACAGAGTGAGAGAGAGTGAAAGAGAGACAGAGGGGGGGGGGGAGCACACACAACCCTTGTAGACCTTTAATCGTGTTTACGCGTGCAACCTTCAGGACGACGTTAATATTTGTCTATTTTTTTCTCCGTTGTCTCTCGCAATGATAAATGGTGCAGGTCTCTTCGAAATTGATTTCATCAACTTCCTGAATTAAAACCGTGTGACGCTACATAAAATTGTAACCGCTTTCAAGAAGTTTAGAAACGGATTTTATATCGGGAGACTCGAGGTTAAAGTCTTTAACTGTAGAGAATTACAGAGCCTTGTTTTATAACAAGATAATAAATGTACGTGTACACTTGCGCGTTTATCTCGATATAATTTTCTCTTTTACTGAGAATTTTATAACAGATAATTGTATGAATCACTATTGGCATTCACGTAAAGTTCAATCAGTCTTTGTAACGTTAACGTTATACTTGAGAGAAAAAAAAAATTAATTTAGGAGATACTCTCCTTGCTCTCTGTTTATTCGTTATATTTATAAATTTAAATTTGTCATCGCTCATGAGAGAATCGTATCGTTGGCAGAAACTCTCCAAAACTTCATCATTATTTCGCCGTTGGGAGAGAGCGCGACTATTCCCTCGTCGTGTCTAAATATACCTTTCCTAGATCGTTATTAACAACTCGTTTCGACTGTAATTGTAACATTTCCTGTACGACATATCGCGCAAGCGCCAGTTCGTGCCTTTCCATCGACGGGAAGGATACGGAAACCGACTTTTTTCAAATCTCTCTCTCTCTCTCTCTCTCTCTCTCTCTCTCGCCGCCGGGACGGCAGGATGCGGGGAACTCGATCTCGGTCTATGACGCGCGAAGGTTTTCAAGACCGCCGATCTATGACGATAAAGTGCAAATTAAAAATGCGGTGACACACTTTCACCGTTAAGTACTACTACCCGCGATGTAATAGCCACCATTCAGCTTCTGTCGGGGCGGCGGAGCGACACCGCGGTGCGTAAAAAAATCTCGCGTAATTGTCACAATCGCGGAGCAAAATAGCTCGTGTCTTTCGCGCGCGCGTCGAGAAAACGAAATCGGGGTCCAGACAGACGGAGAGTATCAGCCGATTTACGAGCGGACGAAAAGCCATACACTCGCGTGACTCAGTTCACTTTCCTCGCAATCGGTCGGGCAGGCGCGATCTCATCCTCTTTCTTCGAAAAATCTATTTGGGAGCGCAACGGCACTGCGACGCGAGAGCGAGCAACAAAAGCGCCCTATACTACGCAAAAAGTAACCGTATACCACTATCGACCGCGTTATACGCCGGGGAATATCCGCCCCTTATATCGCCCCGCCGGGGCTCGGCTCGGAACACCATAAAACTTCGGAAAGTGTCACGCGATTCGCGCGCGCATGCAACGGCGACGTATTAACGGAGTTATTTCGTGCGTTGTAACGCTCTCGGGCCCGCGCGGGGACCCAGAATTCAGGACTCGGAGAGGGCTATTTCACAAGAGACCGACACCACACACACCCGTGTGTATAGGGATGCGAATAAAGAAGCAAGACGGGGAACAATACGTGACTCCGTGAGACCGTTTCGCAAATCGCGGAAAATTCGATGGAAGATATAAACAACGAAATCGATTATATAATGGCTTACGTAATCGCGGAGCTTGGTTCTTAAAATTCGGTTGTTATTCGCCGTTTAACTGCACCCGTGTATGAAAATCTCAATGCATTGCAGGCGCGCTTTTATCGATCGCTTCGAGAGTTTTCGCTCGGAAACCAGGTCGTTAACGAGAACAAATCGGTATGCGGTCGATCGCGATCGGAACGAGATATAATTGAACGACGCGTCGATCCATATCGGGGCGGAGTGTATCGACGATCGCACGACACGATGTTAGACATTTCATCGCTCGTGGCCGTCGTATAATAATATTCCGCGCGCGCGGGCGTTCGCCACGGACAAAGGACGTGCCGGATTTTCGCCGGCAGCGTAGCGTCTTCGCGCCCAGACGAGCGCGTGCAATAATGAAGCCTTCGGAAAATATTTTTATCTCCCTCGCGCGTGGCTCGTTGCAACGGAAAAATGCGGTCGTCCCGGTGGGCACAGCCCGTACGAACGAAGGGGACGACAAAGAGCGAAACGAGAAGCTCCAAAAATATCTGATTCCTGGGTCTTACCGTCGGACGTCGTGCGGGGATGGTCCGCGCGCCGGTCCGATTCTCCAGAGAGGAGCGACGCGACGGTTTTTTTCGTCCTGAAATAAAATTCGCTCGGGGGCTGCGTCTCGTGTGAGGGAGAGGGGAGGGAGGGGGGAACGTCTCTCCGCCTTCGAAATATCGCGGGTGCGAGATACACGTTTCGTATCGTAAAGCCGCGAAATTTAGCGACCGTTAGCGTTCCCGGCCTTTCTCTTAAAACGTCGGATTTATAAAATCCCACGGGGTTGAAAAAGTTATACGAGCTGCGTCGAATCGGCCGCGTCCGTCTATAAAATCGCGCGGCGTGATTAAGCAACGATGACTTTAAAGTAAATCGCCGGTTTATTTTCGGTATACTCGCCGACGAGGTGAAAGAGAGAGAGATTATGGGAGAGAGAGTACGCGAGATAGGCGGATAGAGAGAGGTTGTTTTTTAACGGGTATAAGAGAGAGAGATAATTAATTTCCCCCCGCCGTGAGCTATTTTCCCTCCCCGATGCCCGAGTCTTGAAAACTCACGGGAACGAGTCCTGAGTCACGAGCGCGTTTAACGTGCGTGCGCGCGCGCAACGTTAGTCACGGTGTCATTTAATTAAAATTGCTCGTTGAGCGTCAGCCGTCGCGAATCGAAAAGTTGTGCCTCGTATACGAGACATAAAGAAATAAATTAAATCTCGCTCGCGTTCGAGGAGCCGCGCGCGCTCGTACGCTCTGCCGTATTTAAACTCTGCAATGCGCAAAATTAATAATTTCCCTAAACACTGCCGTTGCAATTGTCTCTCCGGTTATCGGCCGTATACAACTCGTTCTCTCGTTTCTTATAGACTTTCCGTTATGACAGTCAGCCTCCGTTAATGTCCCGCGAATGCACATTCGCGATGCCCCGATACAGATAACGATAAGAATAAATTCGGACCACGCGCTCGGTACAACGGACATGCGATATATCAAACGCGCAACTCTTACTTTCACTTTTAAGGAAATACGTACGTACATACATTCGTTACGGCACGCTAATTTTACGAGTCGATTATAACGCGCTGATTAATTATTTCGAAATTGCCTCGAACACGAAGAGCGAAGTGAATCGACTTCGCTTTTGTCATCGCCGTGCGTATTCCAAGGACACACATTGCGAAATTATAAAATCGCCTTCGGCGCAGTCTCTTCTCTTTGCCCCGATTTCTTTGTTTTTTTTTTAACTCTATTTATCGATCTTTATCAATTTTTATCAATCCTTATCAAGCACTCGGCAAGAGAAAACTCGACTCGAGTTTTCATGAGTCACGCATTTCATTTGCAAATTTTCATCGCGAAAACAGGAATTCATCTCTGTTCTATCGCCCTGCCGGATCTCGTCATATACAATCCAAATTTAGACGGCCACTTACATGGCTCGTCCGTGCATTCGTTAAGCGGCTGTTACGACTTTTCTATTCGCGCATCGCGCGATCGCGGCGCATTTTATTTCGCAATTCTTACCAATCGTTGCGTGTACGATTTACGATGCAATGACAGTGAGTCGTACAGCATTATCTCGTAAACGTCAAAAACGTGCGAATGAAAACGTATTTCCACGATAAACAATAAGTAAACCGTCGTAAAGTATGACACAATTCGCGCTTCAATGAAATTTTGTCATTGGGACATTGTTCATTGAGTATGAAGCGCAGATAAATAAAGATGTGGAACAAAATACGATCGCTGGTAGTATTTATCAAATATTAGCAAATACATATATTGCTTTTATTCGCTTAACATCGGCAAACAGCGGCGCTAATAAATTTTAAGATTGTAGGGTTTATTGTAAAGCCTTGTAACATCCTGCGGGATAACGTATCGGCTAATGTTAAAAGCGAGGAAGTTCTATTGATAAGAGAAGGACGACTTTTGCTGATAAATTTATTTTTTCCCACATTGACTTGTGCTAAAATCTTAAAGTGAAATATTTAATATGTATAAATGAGTAAAGATATCTCGTATTTAATAACACTCTGAGCATATAACGCCTATCTTATTTCTTAATTGGTCTATTTTATCTCATCTATCAAATTTTTATTTTATTGCACGAAAGAAAGCTATTGATTTATTCACGTAAAAATGTACATATTCATATT